CGCCTTTGCTAACGCTTTGCTCTAACTTAGCTTCCATTGGTAATGACACGTTCGACTTTTTTCTTTTTTTTTTTTTTCTCACGTCGCAGGAATAATTTGCCAGTAGTGCTCTTGTTGTGCAAGACAGCAACCACGACAACACAGACCGATAATCGCGAGTTGCGAGACTTCAACGTTCAAGTGCGCGGAATTATTTCGTTTAATCATGTGTACACTCGAGAGAGAGAGAGAGCGAGAGAAAGAGAGAGAGAAATAGGTCGATATTGAGAAAACTAGCGGAGAGAACGCACGCGTTTTCTCTCGGAACTATGTACGGAAGAATGAGAATGTTTCTTCGCTAAGCGTCAAATCCGTATTGATTACGGCAATGCAGTGCAGTTGTGGTGATAGGGAGCTTGGATGCGCCCAGAAAAAGTATGAGAGAAAGAAAGAGAGAGAGAGAGAGAGAGAATATTCGTGTAGAAATAAGTAAACACCGAAGAACGAAGAAAGAGAAAGGGAATGGGGGTCCTTGTGCCGCAAGGACCCCAGGATAGCGGGCAAGAAGAATCCTAGAATTGTCGAGGATGCTTCACTCGCATCGCCCTCTTCTTTTTCATGTTCCTTCCGCGATTTCTCTCCCTTTCGTCTCTCTTTGCTTCCGTGTATTTCCTTTTCTAGGCTGTAAATATGCCCCCAAACCTTGCCCCCATTAGGATTTACTCCTCGCAAAGGAGAGAAAACCCGCCGTTTTCGACAAGCTACGTACCCCCACAGCGAGAGGGTGTCGGCGTCTCCCTTTCCCACTTGGACGGTCTTGAACGTCGCGCTCCGTCGTATTCCGTTCTTTTTCTCTGTCTTTCTCGGTTTTGCGCGCCGTAAAACTTTCGTACGTACGTACGAATTGCGAAATCAAGAGCTCTTCGAAGAAGACCAAAGCGAAGAGAAGTTGGCGCGCGCGCGCGGAGATTTCGACTCTTTCCGCGCGAAATACTCTCGTGTATCTCTCGGGAATATTTTTTTTTTTTTTATATTTTTGTTATAAAACACACGTACACACAAGAAAATTGTAGTTTCCCGCGCAATCGCGATATTTCGTTCCATCGTTCGTCGAAATATGAAGCAATTGTATATTGTTTTTTTTTTTTTTTATTAGAAAACCAAGAAAGTCGAAACGCGCGCGATCGATAAATATCGTTTCTCTCTCGCGCGAACCAATACCAGTGTTGTTTCCGCGAGCAAACCGAAACCGAATCCGTTCCCCGGGAACGATAGGTCAACAAGTCAAAATGACTGGAGAATCATTCGCCAAGTGGCGAAGATCCAACAAAAGAGAGATCTTTGCTCAACCGAGGCCGCGAACTCGTAGAAACCCGATACGATTTCTCTCCGAAAAAGCATTCGCGGACTCTCGGATTTCGAGTGCGTGTATTCACGGCATTTCACACTTTCGTTTACCGTCGAAAGAAAGAAAGAAATAAAAAAAAAAAAAAAAAAATGACACATTCGTCGCGATCTTGAGGAAACAATAAATCCCGCGTGTTCGCGCATTGTGTGGGGAAGTGGATTTTTAAAAGTCGAAAGAGCAGAAAGAGAGACAGAAGGATTTTGTCCAACTAGCCTACATGTAGGGAAAAAAAAAAAAAAAAAAAAAAAAAAAAAAGACCGCTTCGCTGTAACTCGCGGCGCCTACAAAAATCCGATTCGCCGGATGATCCTCACCCAGTGCGCTTATGGGAGGGCACAATAGAGGAGATTGAGAGAGTGGTGAAAAAACCTCTCTTCCTCTCCTCTCCCTCACCTCGCCCCCGAAGTGGATACGAGAGCAAAAGGAAAGAAGCTTCGAATTCTTATCCGCGGTCGTTGTTCCCTTACTTTGCGCGGAAATGAGGTGGAAAACCGCACCCTCCTCGGAGGGGATCAACTCACCTTTTCTTTACCTTTGCCCGGGAGGATACTAACGTCGGATTTCGAGTACCACTGCGGTTTCCCGATATTTCAAACGCGTTTGAATCACGAAGCAGCCGAGCGCGAGAAAATCGCGTCAAACACTGCGATAAAGAAGAAAAAAAAAAAGATCGCGTCTTGTGTTCGAAGCGTTCCCGTCGGCGAAGAGAAGAAACACAACGCTAATATCAGTTTTCTCCCCAATTCCAAACGGGAATGACCGGGAACGTCGTCGGACATTTCCTTCGGGGAGAGACAAACGTTTTGGGAAAGAGAAGTGAGAATTGCGGAAAGTAAAAAAGAAAAAAAAACCCTCCCGTTCATTAACACGTTTAAAAATGTGTTCGCGAAGTAACGAACACTCTCTCGAAAGTCTCCAACCGCGTTTCTCGCTAAGAAAAAATTCCCATTTCTGGACATCGCTTTCTCCTTCCCCCGTTGGGAACGCGCTTTTGTTCAAAAATGAAATTTCCCATTCGCGCGCGCGAGCGAACGTCCTTACGTCTGCGTTCTCTCTTGCGTCCCGCAGAATTTCCACCATAAAAAAAACGCGAGTGCGCGCGCCAAAGGGGCGCGAGAGAGCTCGACATTTTTGAATTAATCTCATTCGACTGCTCCCTTTATATGTACGCCGGTTTCTCTCCCTCATACACGTCCCACGACGGGTTCTGTTTCCTAGCCCGCTCCCGTGGCTCCAAGGTTAATTGGAACGAAAGCGAAAGAGAGAAAAAGAGCGGAGTCGAAGGGGAACGTTGCCGGGGGTGGGTCCGAGACAAGACGACAAGTTTTCGTTGCGAATTTCTAATGCCCGCTTCTATCTTCCTCTCCTCTCGAGAGAGAGAAGATAAAATTTCAAATGGGGGTTTTAAAACTGTGCCGTTCCGCAAACTTTTCTAATGGCTTTTATTGAGGTTTGTGTTGTATTTTTTTTTTTTGTTTTTTTTTAAGGAAAAGAAAAGCTACGCGAAGTTGCTACCAAAAAAAAAAAAAACGCAGAGAGATTCGCAACTCGTCACCGACGATCGCGACGTTTATTCCCGTCTCGAGGCCTCGGGACATCGAGGCGAGGGACACCCCGACGGGTTCTTCGTGAGGGAATATAAAGGAAAGAGGAAATTACCGAGCAGGCGGAACAGGTGTACCCGCACTTTGTGATCTCTCCTGAGAAGCGGGGATTGTCCTTTCATAGTCTCTCTCTCGGATATACGGGCCATTTACCTTTACCGTGATATTAGACGCGAAGAAGCGTGAGCGGGATTCATTCATGCGAGTTCACCGGTTGAATAAAAACGCGCGGATCCGCTCTCGGGTCTGAAACTACCGGCGCGGAGCGGCGGTTTTTCTTCTTTTCGAACGAAAACTCCGGTAAACAGTCTCCTTCGAGACTCCGAGAGTTGGAGATCGAGTCAGTTTTAGGAGATGTAATTCAAAACGACGCCGGTGTATCGATTACACCTCGTTAGGTCCCAGTCCCTGTAAACAAAGCTGGCGGAAGTCAACGCGAAGCGTGCGAAGTCACGTAACTTCTGTGTATGTATCGCGCGATCGGGGTGAGAGTTCGATTTGAAATTTGTCAATTTAGATTTGACAAAATGTATTTACGTTGCTCGCGGCAATAAAGCTCGATTGTTGTTTCTCCTCCCCCCGAAGCGTCTCGGTTATTTCACCGTCCACGTAGCTCGAGGGCGGGTGCTCAATTTTCGATTAGCCATTAGAAATGGATCCTTCGTGAAGCACACAAATCGAAATCTTGCGCCGATACACAACGCGCGGGACGCTCTAATAGAATTTCATGCCGATCGAGAATTGGACGTGGGTTGCGGTGCGAGCTCAGAAAGGAGGAAGGGAGAGGAGATAGAGTCTTTTCCGCAGGACCGTCGAAGATCGGTCAGGCGAGGAATTGATAATCAAAGCAACCCCACTAAGGATCGCGATTGAAGTTTTAGTCCGTTCGAATATCACCGGAAACTTTTCAAACTATGTTTGAACTATGTGTTACAACAAACACCACCACGTAAGTTCCGAGTACGGATATACTGAAAAGTACGGAAATACTGAATTTCAATTGTATTTTTTATACACACGTTAGATCGATAGCTCGATACTTCAAAATCGCTCGATTCTTTTTAACGCGCATGTTGGACTCCGCCGATGAAACAATTTTTTTCTCTCTTTCTCTCTCTCTCTCTTTTTCTCTCGAGATAGAAACGAGTCTCAATTCAATTTGAAAATTCGTATAATTGCCCTCTTGAAACGTATTTTTTTTTTTTTTTTTCATAGACTCTTACGCGCGCGACGCGGCAGAGTCACGAAACATCATTACCTTTTTTCTCTTCACTTGTGACTTTCGCGCTCTCAAGCAAAAAATGTCATCTTTGACGCAACCGAACAGAAGTAGTCGTACATATTCTTAAGTGACAGCGGTGCTTCCACGCTAATGAGGCGCGGTGTAATTAGTGAGACTGTCTATCGGGTGGAGCTCGTCCTCACGAGAGAGAGCAGATCCCTCTCGACGCTCCCTGAGTCGCTCACTCACCCTTCGTGTTCTCCACACACATCCTCGACCTGCGCATTTCTTCTCGGTCGTGGAGAAGAGAATACGCGTTACAGCACACTAATTTCACTATTGTTTTTTTTTTAAAAAAAAAAAAAAAAAAAAAAAAAAAGAAAGAAAGAAAGAAAAGTAACGAGGAAAAACAATTAAAAATGTTTTATATAATTCTATACGCGTTTTATATGTTTAGAATATATACGCAGCGTGTTTCTGAATGCTCCGACTCATTGTCGGAGACACTAGATGCATTATTAATACTAACTAGTATTTGTACTAACTTGGTTCAGACAAGAAGGGAACGATCCCGTTCAGACAAAAGACACTTATGCATATGTTCATATATATTTGTATATGTCATTTGTATATTTCATATTTATTTCACATCATGTATATGTTATATAACAATATGTGTATGTATTTGAAATAGACAGTGTGAAATAACACACTTTAATTCATCTGACACTTACAAAAAAACTCATTTGTTATTAAAAAAAAAAAAAAAAGACAAATATATATGATTGTATCTAGTATATGTAGTGTGTATATAGTGTATAATTGTATGTAGTTTATCATGTTTTTAAATTTTACTGTTTTAACAAGTGTTTTAAATATAAATTTTTATCGTTGAAAATTAAATCTGATGTGTTCGTAACACTGCGATGTGACAGGCCGTCGTGTAGATCGGCGCAGCGATTGTCTTACAGACGGCAGCGGTACGGATGTGTGTACATTTTGCAAAACCGGTGACGGTGATGGTATTGGTGTGGGTATTAGCGTATTATGCGATGACTGCGACGAGGATGGAGTGAACGATGAAAATTGAAACGTGCCAGACATCTCGGCCATTTCTAATTGTGAAACTGTTGAGAATACTGTTGCTTTGGCTACTAATTGATTGTAGGAACTAAGTTTTTTTACGGTTGCAGCAATACTATTAAAAAATAAATCTATCTCATTGGTACTGGTTGTAACTTGTTGAGTGTCTGTGTTCTTGTTGTTCACTACTCTCGTTGTTGTATCTACTCTCGTTGTACTATCCTGTCGATTTCTATAGTTTTCACGAACATTTGTTGATTTTTTAGAAACTTGCGGTGTTGATTGCGCAAATGATTGCGATGAACTTATATCTCTCTCTTTGATTTGCAAAGGTATGTCATAATCTTCATCCTCTTCTTTCGTGTAGCAACCGTTAGACATTTCATCATCAATGTCTGAGCCATAATATTCATTGATGTATTGATCAATATCAATGGCAACTTCATTGTTTGTTGTTACCGAGGTAACAGCTTCTTTTGGAACGAGAAATGTTTCCACGGCATCTGGAAATTTCCAATTTTTTAACTTTTCTGTTGTCTCACTACTTTTTGTTTCCATACATTTCTTGAAAGATTTCTTCTTCAAGAGTTTTTTCCACTTTTTCTTGCTCATACCTGAAGAAGAAAATTATGAAATTTAAGAACATTTAAGTTTTTTTTCTTTTCCAAACGCACGCACATTATTGACATTTCACATCTCTCTTATATCTTTAAAGGTTAAATATAATTTTGGAACTGGTGAAGTTCATCGTACATCACCGGTCTGGTCATATATTTCTATCAGGTTATCCTATAAATATGTATATAAACATTCCTCTTTAGATCGAATTCAATTTTTACTTTACACATTTGACTTATTTATATCATCACACAAACAATATTTTTCATCAAACTGATGGAAGTAATGAGATGGTGAAAAAGAAAAATGTTTTGTAAAGATTTATTAAATAATTATAACGCCTAAACATTGGACTATAAATTTATTTATTATTATTGTAATTTATTTTTTTTTCTTCTTTTCTTTTTATCTATACTATGTTACATTAATGTATACAATATTTTACTATATATTTTGTACATCATTTAGTTTCTTTAAAAGTTGTATTTGTAGAAAACATTAATTTTTTTTGCGATCATTTATTTACTAAGAGATAAATGCATGTTTAAAACTTACTTGATTGATTTAATAGTCTTCTTATTTCTTTCCATGCTGCTTCTTTTTTTTTTTTTTACTGTCACTATAATTTTTATCTTCTTTGTGATTTGCAGAAGGATAACCTACACTTTTATCTTTTTACACTTTCTTTTAATCGTTATCATGTGTTTATGTGTAATTGTAATTTATGAAAATGTTTGTAACAATGCGATACAATAAGAAACTCTGTCTGAACGGCTGAAGCTACTAATCAAACGTGTTCATTTCCATATATTTAGACGCGTACCGTGTCAGATAAAATATTTTTAACTGATGTCCGACGATGTCACGGTACGTGTCTAAATCTGTGTGTGCAATTGCTTACATTAGAAAAATGTTGAAATTACTTTGCTCCTGCTTCGTATCTAAACGAAGTTAGTACAGATCGATCTTAAAATGTCGACAAATATATGAGAGAAACGCGCATGTTTTGAAGATGTGTATTAAAGTAGAAAATAAATATACTATAGAATAAATATACTATAGAACGTATAGAAAAAAAGACATCAGGGAATAGTGAAGATAGCGAAGCTATTTATATCAAATTTGTCGAATCAATCTTATCTTCGCAAAATTGTGTCCACTGTATGTCTTTTGGGGGCGAGACTAAATAATTTGGCTTGACAAAAATCATTGAGGAAGAGAAAGAAAGCGAGAGAAAGAGAAGGGGGAGACGTACAAGTTAGTTTCTATTAAAGCTATTCACAGACACGGCTATCGCGCAAACAAAATAGCTGACCCCGCTCTCAATGGGCTCTGACGAATTCACAGAGAGGGTTCTCGCGTTCCCGATGCGTGGTTTCGGTGGGTGGGTTTGCCGAGGATGGGAAGGCCGATTTAAAGCACAATGCGGCTCAATGCCGAGGAAATTAGCCTCGGCGCTGCCGGTGACGCCCCGTCACCCCCATACCACGGAAAAACAAGCTTCATGCCTTATATCCCACAGAAGCGCGCCGCGCTACGTTGATATTATCATCCATCGGCTAATTTGCATCGCGCCCGATATCATCGCCACGTCGGCACGATAGCCGGTTCTTGAGACACGTTCCGTTTTACATATAACAGGCGCAGGGTGTGCATTACATCGATAACAAGATTGGGGTTTTTTTTTTTTTTTTTTTTTTTTTGTTTCCCTCAACCACACACGTGCATATTACGTTATTAATAGGCAATAAGGTCAACAGTGGATGACTATATATGTTTCTGTTTACGTCTAGTAGTTTTTTGCTCCCTTCCTTC